TCTAAAAGATGGCTGTACCTCATCTTTCTGCTGTCTCCACTAATCCAGGATTTTTCCTGGGTCAATATTCTTTGGGTTTTTCAAGGTCAATAAATAAGGGAGGGTGAGAGTGACTTACTGCTTACTCTGCCATCTTGGATCCCAGAAGTCAAAATAGGTGATTTTTAAACATTCTGTCTGTGGGCTGATAGCTCCAGGAGCAGCCACCTCTGCTACAGATTCAGTCATTCCCAAGGCCTATTCCTGATTTTCTGGGGCTGAGGCTGTATTGGCTTCTCTCTCAACCAATTCTGACAGAACCCTCCTGCTGACCTTCTAAGTTGTCTCTGGCATCTGTGGGCTGAGAAATCTGGAAACTGCCACTGCTACCAGTGACTCAGTCTGACGAGGCCTGCTCCAGGTTTTCTGGGGCCAGGTGTGAGCTTGTGTGGCCCACACCAGACTGTGCTCCCTCTCTCAGCCTGCTGCAACAGACCTTTCCAGTCAGCTTTCCACGTTGTCTTGGGCTGGAAATCTGCCTCACTCTGTCTCTTTGTGGGTTCTGCCACTCTAGAATTTGTTCAGAGTAACTTTTCAGAAGTATTTGAAAGGGTTTGAGGGAGAGCTCAGGCAAATCTCTGCTTTCACTCTGACATCTTGGCTCTGCCTCCTCCACCCTAATCTTTCTTGACCATGATTTTTCAAAGTGGGTTTTGTAGAAACTGAGGTCTCCACCACAGCCCATCAGGATGCCTTGATACACCAATTCACAAGTGGGATTGGGCTTATTTTTTTCTTCTAAGTACAGGACATATCTTAAATTCTTTTTATCTCAATTCAAGTCTTTTCTCATGGGGCAGAAAGAACATTGTGCTCAAAGTCAGGAGCACTGAGTGCTTGGATGCCGGCTATGAATTAGAACCTGGATTACCTCATCTGTAGAATGGGAGAAATGAAGATAGTCAGAAACCTCCTGCCTCCCAGGGTTGTGGAGAGGAAACCTCAGCACTCCATGAGAAGAGGAAGTGTTAGGGTTTCCAAATCATGACCTCACTTTCACCCCCTAATAGTGTGGTTGTTCCAAGTACAAGCAAGGACAGGGCTGCAAAGTAAGTGAGAATAAATCATAATGACAGCCGGTTTGGTCTTAAACAGGGCAGTGTAATACAATGGGCAAAGCCATGGAATGGAAGCAGAGGGTTTGGGCTCCTTGGCCTCAGCACCTGGGACAGAGGATGCACTTAATCAAAGGTTCTCCATCATTGATTGGTGCTAATTGTGTAATCTTGGGCAAGCTCCTCTTCTCTAACAAATCTCTCCTCTGCCATGTACCAGCCTGGGTGCTTTGGGCAAATCACTCTGTTGCCTCAGTTTCTTCCTCTGTCAAATGAACATGATAATGCCCAAAGCACATATCTTAGAGCATTGTGAGTCAAATGAGACAATGTCTGTGAGGCTTCATAAGAAGGTCAGTTTTGGTCATCACTTGTCCCTCCTCCAGTTACTTTGCTCAGTCACTCAGACTGAGACCAAAGCTGAAAGTTCTAGGCAGTGTTCAAGGTTGGCAGTCCAAGGGATCCAGCACTAGGGTTACCAGAAGTTTGCAGATAAGTAAATCTGTGCCAAGCCAGGGAACCTAAGGCATGAGACTCAAATTGGGTAACCTGTACAAAACACTTGGAGATCTTCTTTGGCAAAAAGAGGTGTCAGAGCGGACATAGTGACATGGAATCAGTCAGACTTGGGTTGATGCCTCTCCTCTGACATTTTAACCAATCAACCAATCAGCAATCATTTGTTAAGCACCTGCACTGAGTCAGGCCCCTCCCACAGGGTGGGAATTCCTTCCAGGGAGTTCAATGAAATCACAAGTTCCTGTTCCCCCTCCCCCTCCCCTCTCCCCCCAATGTGGTAGACCCTGTACCAAGTGTTGGAAGTGTAATGGCAAAACCAAACCAGACCTGCGCTCAATGAGCTTACACTCTCTTCAGGGAAATAACTCATGTGAATGCAGTGGGTATCTGGACTGTGTTTCCTTTCCGTGAAACACAGAGTGGCCCTGGTGGATCCTAGAGAGCTATGTTAAAGAGGTGGTAGCAAGGGGGCACCACAGTGCACAGAGCACTGGGCTTGGAGTCAGAGAGACTCATCTTCCTGAGTTCAAATCTGCCCTCAGACACTTCCTAGCTGTGTGACTCCGGGCAAGTCACTTCACCCTGTTTGCCTCAGTTTCTGGAGAAGGAAATGGCAAATCAGTCCAGTATCTTTGGCAAGAAAAACCTCAAATGGGGTCATGAAGAGTTGGACATGGCTGAAAACGAGTGAACAACAACAACAAATGATAAAGAGGTGGAGACCCTGAGGTAGAGCCCCCAGGGACATGAGATTGAGGGACTGGGATGATGAGACAAACGCATAAGCAGAAGCCGGGATGGAGCTCCACCGGCGGGCACCGGAAAGAGCTCAGAGACTGGACCAGGACGGCCCTTCCAATCCCTACTCCCCGTTTCTCCAGGGTTTGCAGAGCTGATCTTGGCAGGCTGAGAATGGACCCTTCTTGTGGCTCCCATCTGCCGGTTCAAGAGAAAGGCTTGTGACTTTATGGCATTTCAGGAAGCCGTGCATCCACTGCCTGAAATGTCTTATGAAGCAGGCTGGTCCATGGAGAACAAGGCATGGATGGAGCTTCTGGAGCTACAGGCTGTCTGACCTTCCCCATTTGGAGCGGTATCGTCCTGCTGCATTCGTAGGTCAGGACCAAGTCCAGGGCTACAGCCCCTTTGCAGTGGGGTGGTGGCTCTGAAAGTCAGAGGGGATTCCTGGCCTTCTGGGAAGTCCACCAGAGACGCTGAAGAAACCTCTTGGCTTGATATAACAAAGGGTATATTTAATTCCTTTGCTATTTAATTAATAAATAAATGAAGCAACAGCTGACCTTTCTGTTGGTTTGCAGGGAGGAGGAAACAAGCAGGTGGAAGTTGTTAGTTCATCTCAAGGACCCATGGGCCTGCTCCGGTCTCCCACATATACATAACTACAAAGTAAATTGGGAGGCGGTGCTTGGACAATAGGAGATGCCGGTTCCGGGAGCCATGGAGGGAGTCCGGGAGGCCAAGAGACAGAGGGGAGGAAGAGGAGTGGTCCAGGCATGGAGACAGAGACTTGACATCCCATGTGATGAACAAGGATAGATATCAGAGCCCTGTGGGGTCCTGGAACAGAAGTGCCAAGGAGGCTGAAGTTCCGAATGGACCAAGTGGAGTGGAAGGGGCAGGGCTGTGCTTGAAAAACGATCCTGGGAGAAGATGGAGGATCACAGAAGGCCAGGCCCTTTGCTTGAGGCCGCAATGGGCAGATTGTACCCTGATAGGGGAAGACCGAGCTGCGGCTGTGCTCCCTGCTGAATGACCTTTGTCTGGGACTGCTCAGCTCAGACTCACGTCATCTGCTTCTAGGCCAGGGCTACTAATGAGTACATAAGGGGACTTATCTCATCCTATCAAGACAACGGAGGGATGGAGCCTGGATGGCGGAGGGACAGGGCCAGACCTCCATGATGGAGGGGCAGGGGTGGAGGGTTGGGGGCGCTGGACCTTAAGTGCAGCGAGTATCTCTGGACTCTCTGCTGAGGAGCTGGGCCTGCCCAACTCCTCCTCATGGTTCTAGAGGAGTGTGGGCAGTTGGGATGTCTTGTTTTCTGTTACCATCATGTTGGGCCCCTCTGCCTGTGCTCCTCCCACGCTGTTGGGGGCCATTTAATCACTTAATGCCAATTAGCTTTTACAAAGTAATATTCCTCTCAAACACATAGCAAAGAAAAATACGCCCCTCCCCCAGTACCTCAGGGGCATACTCCTCTTTACCACCTCAGTCTTGGGGCGGAGGCGGCGCAATGCAATGATCTGGGTGCTGCAGGTCCCACCGAGGTCATGCCCAGATGTGGCACGATCGCTGGATAACTCCGCATATTAGCTTCCGCTAGCCGGGAAACAAAGGTCCCTCCTGAAGTTTGCTCTTGGGGACAGCAGTTCTGGCTTGGCTACAAAGCCCATCTGGGTTCCTGTGACTCACTCCCCGACCTTTCCAAGCTGGTAAGGTTAGAGATGCCACTCCCACACAAAGCCAGAGGCCAAAGCCTGGGGCCCATTTCTTGGACCTCATAGCCTCCAAAAGGAGAAGAATCCTAGGCCTCTCCATATGCAATGTGGTCTGTCAGGGACCTCCACGGGCACAAAATGTCCCATAATGAACAAAGCACCTGAAAGAACCAAGGCCAGAGAGAGATGGCAGAAGCCAGTGAAGCTCCCTGACCAACCACAGTCCTCCACTCTCTGCAGGCTTATAGAATGCCCATGCATGTCCCCTGGTCTCTTCTAGTCCTGAGCTCCTCAGCTCCTCTGGGTGGCCAAACACCAGCTCGGATGCATAATTAGATTATTCAGGACTTGTTGAATAATCATATTCAGGAATAATCATTCATGGTTCATGTGATGGAGCAGGGGGTCTCCAGTGGGGTGCCCCAGGGATCAGTGCTGTAGTGACAGAGTCAGGATCCCAAAAGATCTGGACAGGTTAGAACATGGGGGGGGGCAGCATGAATCTAAGCCAAAAGTCAGTAGAGATTAACGTCCTTCAGTACTAAAAAATCAGCTCCTTAAGTACAAGGTTGTTAGGGATCCATAGGACGTTGAGGGCCACAGGCTGTTCATGAGACTTCACTGATGGGCAGAGGCCCCTCTTGGGTGTTAGTACATGAGCAGAATATCCTGGCTCGGTTCTCCATCCACAGACCTTGCACCTCCCAGTCAGCAAAACTCTGACGCTAGGCAAGCTCAAAGTATTCAACAATGTTGCTAGCTCAAGCACAGTTAGCTCTAGCACAAAGATATATCGAGTATTGCTAACTTATGTACCAAATATTGCTGATTCATGTAATCAAGTATTGGGACATTCCAGGAACAAGAAGTACGTGGTGTTTTTACAGGAACAGCATGGGAGAAGGACACAGTCAGGATAAAGAAATGTACTTGTTGATACTTTGATTGGTATTCACATGAGAAAAATTCTCAGTGTTGCCTATTGGTAAAGATACGTAAACTTTGTTGCTTTGTCCGCTGTTACATTGGGGTATGTTCCCATAAGTCAAAGATATAAAACGCTGTCCTGTGCCTTGAATAAACGGAGCCTCACCATCTTGTCTCCCTGCCTCTTACTGCTCTGCGCAGGTTATCAGGAACTAAGCTGGTACTTAGAATTCCTGGGAGAGTCTAAGACTCTCACAGCCACTGAGCTGGACGTGGATGAGAGCAACAACTGGCACTCAACATGGGGCTGCACTGCTGCCGTGAAGCTGATCAGGGGCTGCGGAGAGTAAGACGGCTGCATGAAACAGTCGGGAATCATCTGGACAAAGATGCAACACCCACTCAGACACCGAGTTCTGTTGGAGCCAGGGAGGACCTGACCAGTAGCTGTTGAAAGACTACAGGTAGGTAAGATTTATGTACATTACATAACTTATCATGGGGCAAAGTTTAGGCAAACTCTCAGATAAAGAACAAAATGGTAGGGTAATTCATACAGTCATTAAGGAACAGGGGTGCTCGGTAACTCCTAGGAAGATAAGAGAGTTTTTAGATATCATTGATATAGCTTCAGCTTGGTTACCTAGGGAAGGAAGTTTGGACTTGACTCAATGGCAAATTGTGGGTGAACAGCTAACTGAATATTATAACACTAAAGGCCCAAAGTCTCTTCCCCTTGGTGCTTTCACCATAGGAGAACAATTAACAGAATATTATAACACCAAAGGCCTGAAATTAGTTCCTCTGGGTACTTTCGCTATCTATAAAATCTCCCTTCAGAGACATGTATGAGAAGGTCCTTTGAAAAATCATGAGAGAGAAGGGACTTATAGTATCACATTGTCAGATTAAAGAATTCTTAGACATGATAGAAATCATCTTGCCTTAGCTTCTCAAGGAAGGGACAATAAATGTAGAAAAATGAAAAACAGTAGGCAAATAATTAAGTGATTACTATTTTCAAAAATAGGGACCTGGTGTTGCTCCAGTGTCCACTTTCGCAATTTGGAATATACTTAAAAATATGTCTCTAAGAATCAGAAGAGCTGTTTTTAGCCACAAAAGTGATTAAGGTAGAAGCCTCTTGTTCCAACACCAAAAGAAGAAAAGTCGCAGAAACGTTAACCAAAACAGAAATTATAAATGAAATAGGTAAGAAAGTAGCTGAAGCTTCAAAGCCCCCTCCACACTCTCCATGCCCTGAGCTGTAAAACAGACTCAAGTGGCATGATGAGAGGTCTGTATGCTGCTACAGATTGTTTTGCCTTTTATAAAAACCAAAACCTTAAGAAAGATTTTGCCTGGTTTCCATAACATCTGAAATACCATGAAAAGAAGAGATAAAACAAAATAAAAATAGTATCATTTCCTTTGTGTAGGGGATTTCTGACAAGTTTCTCACTTTTGAATTCTTCCTGTCATTTTGTTCTATGATTGTCTGTGTCTGTGTGAATGATGGTCTGTGATTAATGTCTGTCATTTACTTTGACCTTTTACTGCCAGGCAGCCAAGGGCTACAACTGGATTCTGAAATGCTGCTAGTGACTTTCTCCCCTTGCCCCTCCCTAATACCAGCTGCATTCCCGGGAGTGGGTGGATGGGGCACAGAATGGGAGAAAAAACTACTTCATTATTTAGGTTATATGATTGGTAAAAAGCAAGTTGAGAAGGATCCTCGAAGTGTCAGGTCGGAATTAGAAAGATGTTAGAAATGTACAGTTCTTAAGGGACTTTAATCAAAATCCATCAGAGAGATGTTTAGGTAGAAAAAAGGCAAGAAAGTTTAAGCATGTGGGAAAGAGAGTAGTATGTGAGAAAGCTACAGGAAGATATAATTTGTTTTCACAGACAGTGTGAACAGAGGGCTTAGGGGTAAAAGATTGGGAAACTATTGGAGAATAGACAGAAGTAAAAAATTCTCTTTCGTTTTTGCATTCTAAGGCTCGGGCCAAAGCTTTGGATATAAGATTGAAAGATTATCAAACATAAGTTATTGCAAGATATTCTCTTCCTTCCTCCCACATTCCAACCCTGGCCAGGTTGGGGTGGGGGCAAAAAAATGAGAAGAAAAGGAGGGTCCTCCAGGAAGGAGGGTGAGTTTTCCTCCTCAGATCAAAGAGAAAAGTTTTAAGTATTGGAGCACAATCTAAAGATAATTTAGTTCATTCACCTTAGTAATATGCATGTTTCAAGTTTAACAAATCTAGTCTCATTACAAATTGGCACACTTTTCTGTGTTATATCACACAATTTTTAATAATCTAGATGTTATTAAAATGTGAACTAAAAGAAACTGCAAGGTAGTGAGATAACTGTGTAAACCCAGCTAAATTATTTTATCAAGTCCGGTTAATCTTGTTCCATGATGTTTTATAACTGTCATTTAGAAAATCAGGTATTTCCATCTTTACCTATGATTAAAGAACAACTTATAGCTAAAACAATTTAACTGTCACTCATGAAAATTACAAATTGTTAACTAAGTTATTTGCAGTTACTGTTTTAAGTTAAAACCTAGAATTCTTAATTACTTCTGAGTGAAAAGGAGGGGCACAAGGCAATTCCCTTAACTTTGTAAGCTTGCCAAAAGCTCCTACCAACTGTGTTCCAAGGTCATCTGCTCTGAGAAGAGAATTTGTATATGTTATTGAGTTCCTAAACAATTAAGTGAGCTTGCTGAAAAGTTGCGACTTTATAAAGTGATTCCTAATAACTGGCTTTTAAACCAGACGAGTTTAAATTCAAGAAAAAATTGATGCTAAGTACAATCTCATATATACATGAGTCTTGGTAAATCTTTATTACTTATTACAACTCCATGAGAATAAAATTGACTATATCTGGCTTTAAGCCGTGATTAGTGAAACTTACTGCTTGAGGTAAAAGACTCTTAGCACTATAATTAACTTTGTTTTGATTTTGAATTTGGGTATGGTTGTTTCATGAAATCAGTATTTCCCATTTTCCCTATCATAATCCTTTAAGGAGGAATGTTTCTTACCATGTGCCAAAATTTTGTTCATAACACTATTAAACTTGTTAGTCAGAAATATTCTCAGACAAAACAATTTATTATATGGATGATAAACTTTGCAGTTTTCCTACTACTACCAAACTCTCCTTATTAATGCCTCAGTTTTACCAAGCCTTTCAGTCTCACAGATTTATAATTACCCCTGAAAAGGTACAAAAGGTATCACCCTTTTCTTACTTTAGATATATTCTACAGTCTACAAGTAGACCACCAAAATGTTACGGATATTAATTATTTTTAGCTTGCCTAATAAATCACCACTAATCAATTATATTAACATGAATTTAAACTACTAGGATTACAGATAGCTAAAACTCAATTCATTTCCCCTTAATTTGTGGGCACGATATTTTACATTTACTGAGAGCTGTTATTTTCTTCCACCCACTGTTTGTGCTTTTCCTATTCATAAAGCTGACAAAATACAAAACGAAATCTAATGAACTTGTTTGGGTTCCTTAAAATTCACCTGTTTTTCTTATTGCAAAGAAGTCAGGAAAATTAACGATGCTTTATGACATCCTAGCCTTTGATAGTTATTGAGTTAAAAGATTACTTTTTTTACTATTCCATTACAAAAAGCTACAAATGATACATTACATGGATGACATTTTATGTGCTCATCCTAGTCCTGAAGTGGTAGAAGAAATTTTACAAAAAACACAAGAATTGTTGCAAAGTCATGGACTTCAAATAGCTCCAGAAAGGGTTCACAAATATCCACCATTTCAATATTTAAGCCATCAAATACTTCTAGAGAAAATAATTTTACATCCACCAACAATAGACCTACAAAAATTGAAAACAGTTAATGATTTTCAGACACTTATAGGAGATATACAGTGCCTCTGATCACCAATTGGCATTCCAAATTAAAAACTGATACCCTTGTATGATTGCCTTAGCGATGATCCTCAATCAGATTCACCCAGGATACTGACCCCTGAGGCCAAGCTAACTTTGTTGTATATTCAGGAGCTAATAATTGGAGCACACAGAAACAGGATTGATATACTTGGAAGCGTGAAAGCCTCTATATTTAACACCCCGAATTCTCCATCAGCAATAACACATCTAAAACAAAAGCTTTTAGAATGGGTATATTTACCATCTCAGCCAAACAACACTTAATGTAATTGTATGGTCCTGATAGGGGACTTAATACATAAAACTGATAACAGATGTTTAACGTTATGTTAATCTGGAAGTCATATACCTTCCATTTTCTCAACAAATAATTGAAATGGCAATACAAACAATGCCTAACTGGCAAGTGAATATCAATTTGAAACTTGTGTATGGAAAGCCCCTTACATATTATGCAATTTTTGAGAATTGGCCTTGGCTACAACCCACACATACATCAGGTGACCCCATACATGGGATTAATGTCTTTATTAATGCCACAAAGATGAGTAAGGCATCTCTCTGGTGCCCTAAAAGAAAGGAATTACGTGTGATCGAAACACCTTTTACCTCCACACAACAAGATGAATTATATGCTGTCTATTGTGCCTTTCACAAATGTAAGGAGCCCATGAATATAATAACAGGCAGTAAATATGTGGAAGGAGTAATGAAGTATTTAGAGACAGCCATAATGAAAAACACACAAAACAACATATTTCAACTGTTTGGAAGTCTTTTGCAATCTAGAACAGAACAATTTTATATTTTGCATGTAAGGTCTCATACGGCAGCTCCGGGACCAAATTTTGAGGGAACTGATATAGTAGATAGGGCATTAACAATGAATGTTGAATTAACACAGAAGTGTCATAGCAAATTGCATTTATCTGCCAGGTCTTTGAGAACCTTGTATGGTGTTTCAAAAGCACAAGCTCGTACCATTGTGAAAAGATGTACTGCTTGTGTTCCTTTTCAGCCACCCTTTCAAGTAGATCTTCATAATCCTAAAGGACTTGCTCCTAATGTCTTATGGCAAATGGATGTTACTCATTATGCTCCATTTGAGAGACAAAAGTTTGTACCCGTTTCTGTTGATACGTATTCTGGCTTTATTTTTGCCACTCCACAGTCTGGAGAGGCTGCTAAACATGTAATTGCACACTTACTTCACTGCTTTTCCTTTGCTGGGGCCCCTTATGGTTTAAAAACAGATAATGGCCCTGCTTACATTTCCCAAGGGTTTAAGAAATTTTGTTGTGAATTTGGCATATCTCACACCACTGGCCTTCCCTATAATCCTCGTGGTCAGGGCATTGGGGAGCGTGCCAATCGTACCTTAAAGGAGGTGTTGCAAAAACAAAAAGGGGGAGTAAAGGGATCCCCTTGGCATCAATTAAATACTGCTCTCTGCACTATAAATTATTTATTTAAAATTGCAACAGTTGCAACCTCTCTCCTGCAATGAAATATCTGGCAGGCAATGGCAAGAGTAATTGTGAAACCACTAAATCAAACAGATTGCTTTTTCCTAAACACAATATGAAAGTCACATGGAGAGACATTGATGGTGTCTGGCAGGGCTCAGGGGAAGTGCTAACCTGGGGGCAAGGGTTTGTTCTTATTTTCACAGGTGATGGAGAACTTTGGGTCAGAACAAAGGATGTCCACGTCATCCATTGAGAAGGAAGAAGGCAAGCAGAAGAGAAAACACAGGTTGGCCAGGAATCAAAGGAGTCGAAAGAATAAGAAGGCAGCACTACATGAACTTGTAACCAAGCTTTGACTCTTGTTATTGTCAGCAGTGGTACAGAACACAGAAGCAGAGACAGGAAATACAACAAGATGGAATTTTGTGACAAAATCACCATGGCTAAGACTGGCTATATGAGGAGAGACAATACCTGAGGTTATTTTACAAAGGATTGCATCTGCAGGATGGGGGAAGGAATTTAACTTTACACCTCAAAAGAATGGTATCATACTAGGGCTGAGCATATTTTTGGTATTATAGAACACAAAAGTGACTTAGTTTTAAGAAGACAAAAGAAGTGTATTTCTTGCGTTGTTTTGGGCATTGTTTCATTAATAGCTTTGATTTCTTCTACTGTCTCTATAGCACTGTCGATTTCCACTGTTCAAAATGAAATTGTCCAAGTTGAATTTTTGAATGAACTTGCAAAAAATGTATCTATAGGCTTTGCTACACAAAAACATATTGATACTAACTTTTATCACATCTTAGAGGGTATGAAAGAAACAATAATTGAAATAGGTGATGAACTGGATATTCTTGAATATCGTACTCATTTGCAATGTGATCATAGGTTTCAATTTATGTGTCTTACCAATGTAGTGTATAATTCATCTCGATGGGACTGGATGAGGATACATAGACATTTGTATGGATTGTTTGAAAATTCTACATTGTCATTGGACATAGATGAGTTATATCACATTGCTCAAGAAATGTCACATGTGGCTGATAGGGGTCTAATGCCTGAGAAAATGGCACAACGTATTATAGATTGGTTAGATGAGACCAAAACCCCCTTTTCCAATGTGGCTTATATAATCGTGTCCATTGTGACTGCAGTCATTCCTATTATTCTTTTTTTTCTTATCTTGCTTTGTTGTACTCTGTGCTTACTTCAATGTATAATCAGGCTGTTAAACAATATATATACATGATGTGCATGTGCTGAAACTGCGACAAAAACAAAAAGGGGAATTGTTAGGGATCTGTAGGACGTTTATGAGACTTCACTGATGGGCGGAGGCCCCTCTCGGGTGTTAGTACATAAGCAGAATAGCCTGGCTCGGTTCTCCGTCCACGGACCTTGCACCTCCCAGTCAGCAAAACTCTGATGCTAGGCAAGCTCAAAGTATTCAACAATGTTGCTAGCTCAAGCACAGTTAGCACAAAGATATATCGAGTATTGCTAACTTATGTACCAAGTATTGGGACATTCCGGGAACAAAAAGTACGTGGTGTTTTTACAGGAACAGCATGGGAGAAGGACAGTCAAGATAAAGAAATGTACTTGTTGATACTTTGATTGGTATTCACATGAGAAAAATTCTCAGTGTTGCCTATTGGTAAAGATACGTAAACGTTGTTGCTTTGTCCGCTGTTACATTGGGGTATGTTCCCATAAGTCAAAGATATAAAACGCTGTCCTGTGCCTTGAATAAACGGAGCCTCACCATCTTGTCTCCCTGCCTCTCACTGCTCTGCGCAGGTTATCAGGAACTAAGCTGGTAGTTAGCATTCCTGGGAGAGTCTAAGACTCTCACAACCACTGAGCTGGATGCGGACGCGTGACATAAGGTGGAGGAAGTGGTAGTTCCAAAGAGGATCTGGGTGTCTTAGTAGCCTGGAAGCCCCACATGGGTCAACAGTGTTATAGGAAAGATAAAAAAGGCACTGGGATGTATCAGGAGGGACCAAGCGGGCAGGGAGAGGGAGGTCAGAGAGCCCTGTGCTCTTCCCTCATTGGGATCTTTGTGGTCGCTTCTGGGTTCCTCCATTTGAGACAGGCATTGCAGAGAAAGGTGGAGTCTGGAGAGGTGAAGGGCTTTGAGTCATTGAGGGAACTAGGAAGGTTGAGTCTGGGGAAGACAGAAGAGGCGGATGGGTGGGTGGGTGCGGCCAGGGAGATGAGAGCTAGCCCTGAATTGTCACGTGGAGGTGGGGTATGTGTGTATGCATGTGCGTGCATGTGTGTGTGTGTGTGTGTGTGTGTGTGTGTGTGTGTGGTGCGAGGGATTCACCTTTTTCTGTTTGGTCCCAGAGGGTAGAATCAGGATTAATGGAGAAGTCCAAGAAACCATTTCTGTCCTGATGTTGGGAAAAGCTTGCTCCCAGGTCCAATGTCCACAAGTAGCAGGGCTCACCTCTGGGGGTGGGGGGGGCTTCCCTCTGCTTGGGAGTCTTTGAACAGAGGCAGGACCAGCCCTTCTCGGGCCCTACAGTGGGGATGCCTTCGGGGGGGGGGGTTGGACTTGATGGCCCCAGAGAACCCTCCCAGCTCTCAGATCCTGCGGCTGACTGTCCAGAAAGTTGAGGACTTGAAGGGAAAGCAGCGAATGGTAAAGTGGGAAAGAGCCATGGGCCGCCTGATGAAGGGCTTTCCAGAGCACAGGAGTCTGTAATTTGTGGCCTTTACCAAATCACTCTGCCTATTTGAGCCTCAGTGTCCTCATCTGCAAATGAGGGCAGTAATCTGTGGACCTCTGACCTCTGTCCCCGCCAAGCACTGGGAGTCAGTGAGAGAACATCTACCTGACACTTCACCCGTCTCCAAACGCCCTAGAGTTGTTGGCTCTTGCTATGAGGTGAGGACGGAGACTAGGGGAAGCCCGGGGTCCTGTCCAGCTCTGACTGGCGAGCTTGCGTCATGGAGCCAAGAGGGTGAGGGGGAGCTCCTGCAGAGCTGGGGTTCCAGGGAGCCCTCGGGATGTGCTGGAGCAGCTCTGGAGCCAGCGGGCAATGATCAGTCTCATCCGTCCATCCCTCCGTTCAGCCATCTGTCCATCTGTGTAGCTGTCCATCAACAAGAATCGTAAAAGTGCACACTGTGTGCCAGGCTCTGTGCTGAGCACAGACACATACAGAAGGAAGCCGTTTCTTTCCTCGAGAAGCAGACTTTTCTCTTGGCAGAGTTGGTAGGTTATTTGTGGCATTAGTCACAATTCTAGCTGACTTTCTTGCAGCGTTTCCCTCATATCCCTGACCTCCCATGATGCCCATGTGAGGCAAGGCCCAACAGACATGCTCATTGGCAAGTGACAGAAGTAGGATTCGCACCCAGGGCTCTCTGAGGCCTAAGACTCACACCTTGGTCCCATCCAAGTGGTGTTTGCTGCATCCAGGCTTCCCGGGCCAGCTGGGTTTGGAGTCTCCTAAGCATCCCAATTTGGCTGAGGCAAGTGATTCTGGCTCTGGCCTCCCCCAGGTCCTGCCGTTGTGGTGTGACCCTTCCTTGGGAACAAGGTCAATGTTCTGGCTCCCAGGCTTGCACCCCCCAACCCCTGCCTCCCTCATGGGAGCTCCCTGCAGCCTTCCCCTCTCTCTGCCATCCTCCTAGGCATCCTGCCAGCTTTCTTCATTGTCCTGGCCTGGCAGCCCCGATCTGCCTGGCATTGGAGCGGTGGCATTTGCCTGGAAGAAGCCTCCTGCTGGGCAGACCTGAAACTGGGGGAGAGCTGGGAGCTCCAAGCCAGGTAGGAGCAGCAGGTCCTTCCAGCAGAGGGTGACTTGGGGGGAGGAGCCTGGGCCTCTTAGCGTTTCAATTCAGGAGAGGTAGGGCTGTGAGTGAGTGAGTGAGTGAGTGAGTGAGTGTGTGTGTGTGTGTGTGTGTGTGTGTGTGTGCGCGCGCGTTCTTAAGAGCCTTGAACTTGGCTTTGGGTCATTAACCATTTCATCTGCAGAGAGTGCCAGGCAGCCCTCCATGAGTCTGCCCTGACAGCACAGCTTCCCCAGAACACACAGGAGGCAAAGCCCAGCATTCTTTCATGGGGGAGAAGTATAGGAAGGGCCACCATGCTGTGCTCAATAAAGGAGAGGAGAATGAAATGGTAAGTCTTGCCTGACCCCCTCCTTCCTCTTTGGTTTGGCATTGGCGGCTTGGAGCTTCTCGCAGGAGCAGAAGGGGACACTTGGCCTCCACCAGCCCCCAGGGCAGCCTTAATGTCCTGGTCAGAGGGCTCAGAGCTGAGGGAAAGGCAGGAAGGCTTGTCTTAGGAGACAGAATAGGAGAAGCCCCCCACCTCCCATGAGCTTCTGAGAATGACTAGTAGAGCCAGCTTGGGCCGAGTAGGTCACCCTCGACTGCCTGAGACGCCAGGGAAGGAACACTGACCTGCCCTGGAGAGAAGGCTGTCACAGAGCGGGCTTTCTTACTCTCCTAAGAGGTGAGCAAGGAGAAGGCAGATGCCTTCGGATCCTTGGAACTCATCCAAAAATGTCTAGTTCTTGTCTGTTGAGAAGGATTCTTTCAGAAGCAGGGTCTCAAGGGCTCACTCCCCCCTCCCCTTCTTGTCTGAGACTTTTATTCCATGTTAAAAAATTAAAAGTAGCAAACCCAATGATGATTTTCATGCCCAGGCTGAATCTTGCCTTTCCTGCCCCAGAGGAGGGGCCTGGTAGGGGACAGAGGCTAGCCCCTCCCTGGCCTTCGCTGGGACCCCAGTCCTCGAGACTGCACTGGGTCCCCGTACAGAGAACAGAACACAACCAGGAATGATTGGAAATGTCTTCTTGGGTAATTGCACCAACCCTGATGATTAAATTCTTTGTGAGTGCTTAAACTGGTCTTTCGAGTCTAATCTGCTTACCTGCTCCTATAGCAACAACATTTTTGGGCCTTCAGGAAGGGATTCCCTTCCTTCTGCTGTCAGAGCAGAGGCACTGGGGATGAGACTCCAGCCTCTGGCCCCTCTTCCAGGCACCTCCCTGAAGCACCCCCACAGGGGCCTTGCCGTCTCTCCTCCTTCTGGTCTCTGCTCCCTTTTCTCTTTGAAGTACTTCCCTTGGGTGTCATTCTCAGCCTCCTGCTCATCTGTGTCCTCTGGGCTCTGTCTGACCTCTCTGTTTGTGTTTTTGGGATCTGTAAGCTCGTCGATAGAGATTTGGAAGGGACCTCTCAGGCTGGCTTGTCTAACCCTCAGACTTTACAGATGAGGAAATTGAGGCCCGGGGGGTGTTCCTGGCTCTAGGTTGGAGAGGCCCTTTGAGGTCATCTCCTCCCACCCCCTCGTTTGGTGGGCGAGGAAAGTGAGGCCCCAGAGTGAAGACATTTGTGGAAGGTCATGCAGGATAAACAAAGAACTAATGTAATAGTGCAATACAATCCACGTACATAATATTTTACACATATATGTACATAATGTTTTACATGTATGTACATTTCCAAGCAAATTCTAGAGATACTATCTCTGAAAATAAACACTGTTGACAAAAAGAATCACAAGCTTATGGAGAAGACCCAAGTGCCAGAGGCAGGATTCAAACCCGAGTCCCCTGGCCCAAAGCCAATAGCGCTCTACTACCTCACTCTGTTCCTGCCTCAGGCTGGGGCCCATCTGTTCTCCTCTGATCTTGGGTGGGGGGAGTCAGGGCTGTCTTTGCTTTGCAGGGTGCCCCCTCCCTGAGACCCTTAGTCCTAGCGGGTCCATCGGTCACGTTCTTCTGGATCTCAGGAAAGGCAAGACCTCAAGGCCATTTGATTGTCAGTCCCGTGACGAGGAAGACTTTGGTGACCCTGGTCTTGCATATGAGAATGCAGCCAGGTAGCAACGATGTCTCTGTCCTTGCCAGATGTTCCAGCAGCCTGGCCTTGTGTGGACAGGGTGTCCCCCAGATCCCCGTCCTGCCTGGGGCCACGTTGCTCTTCGGTGGAGACCGAGGGTCCCGTTCTCCTCATTCCTCCCTCCCCTATAGTGATAACTCTGATTGGTCAGAGCCCAGTAGGCTAAGCTCTGGCAGTGGATTCTGAGCAGAGCTCACGTCTGCACATGGCCCAGCAGCCCCCTTGAAAAGCCACCCAAGGATGCTGATTGAGGTGAAACAACATAAGAAACAGCTGAGGAAAGAACCCTGGCCCAGGATGGAATGAATTTGATTTCACAGCACGGACATTTCCTCTCCTCATAGCCCTAGAACAAAGAAAAGGGAAAACCGTTTTGCCCAATTTGCCTGTGGAGTCCAATGTTCTAGGTAATGTTCCATCCCCGCAGTCTCCACCTCTGCTAAGAAGGGAGGGAGGCAGTTCCAGGTTCTTCTAGTCAGATGAGTTCAGGGGAGGCCTGTGAGCTCTCTGAGCTTCCGTTTCCTCATTTGCCAAATGCTTAAAGTCCTTCTGAGAAATGTCATTCTCCATGCTGCTAGTGACGCTTCCCCCTTGGACTTAACGCGCCTGTTCCCCAAATCAGAGTAGACCCTCCTGGCTCTTTTTGCCTGAGGGTGCTCCTGAACATACACTTTTCGGTTTTGTGTTTGTTTGTTTTTACAAAAAGCTCTGTGCTACCAAATTATAAACAAGTTCTTCCTTGGAAGAAAATTTAAAAAAAGGATGCCCTAGCTCAGTATGGAAACGCCATCCTCAGGTTCCTGGTGATCTCATATGCTGGGACACCCCCCAGGTGGCTCTCAAACCTGATGATTCACTCTGTTTAATCCTCTTTACCAACAGGGCCAGTGCCATCCATGGCACTGTTGTCACCACCCAGGCTTAGCCTCACTACAAGGCATCCTTCCCCAGGCAGCCTGAGCTCCGGAGTCAGAAGGGCAGGGGCAGGAAGGACCTTTACTCCCCTCTCAGAGTTTTGGAGAGCATTACCAGCCCAAGAATTTATGAAATAGGCACCAGAAGGCAGGAGGAAAGGTCTCCAAGGGGAGTGCAGCCCTAGATGTGTCACACAGGGGAATGAGGACAGAATGGTTTGGGGAGAAGCAAGGGGGGAATGAGGGGGAAGAGGCCCCACTCTCCACCTCAGTCAGTCAACAAGCATTGCTTAAGCACCTAGTGTGGGCCAGGGCTAAGCCCTGGAGATACAAAGAAAGGCAAAGACAGTGCCTGTCCCCAAGGAGCTCCCAGTCTGATGTAGGACCTTTGATAACAAATGCTTCTGTACGAGAGACAGATGGAGTAGAGGGGGTGCCATCTCAGAAGGAAGGGGCACCCAGGGGGATGCTGATGAGGAGGCAGGGAGAAGGAGGGGCTGAGTGATGCTTCTCCCAGGAAGAGTTCCACTTCCCTTCCCTAAAGGCAGGAGAGAAAAGGACACTGCCTCCTCCTTCTAGCAAGTGTCCCTAAGACGTTCAGCTTCTAGCCTGCTCTGTCCCCCGGCAACTTGGGGGAAGTGGAACTAGAATTGGGTGTCAGAGGGCCCTGGGATCCTGGGCTTAGAGCAGGAGGGGATCTCAGAGCCAGCTGGTCATTTTACAGATATTGCAAGTGAGGCCTAGTCCAAGGGCCCATAGGTGACACAGAAGTGCATCTGGGATTCAAACCCAGGTCCTGGGACTTCCCAGGACTCATGTGTTACATCTCCACTCTGTCCCTCATTGCCTTCAATGTCTCTGAGTTTCCCCACTGGTAGAAAGACCAAGTTTTACTAGATAGCCTTGAAATTCCTTTTCAACTTTAAATCTGATCATTCTGAGTCTCTTAACCACTCAGTGCCTCAGTTTCCTCATCTGTAGAATGAGAGAAAAAGGTTTGTTTTTATTTGTATCTGATAATTACAAGAACATCCCAGCAAAATGAATAGATTGTGACCATCTTGTTCCCTCATCTTCTAACCTTTTAATCACTTAAAAATTGTTTTTAAAACCAAATTGAGGACACGTGTCTTCTTTCCTCAAAGACTTTGTCTTAAAGGGGCATCTCCACACCTCTGACTAGAGGAAGCCGGATGTGATGGAGAAGGCGAGTCTTGGACCCAGATTGACCTGGGCAGCACATGCTGACCCCACGTGGCTCTGGGCAAATCACTCCACCCTCCACAGTGGCAGGCCTTTCTACACTGGGAAATCCTTAAATGGGTGATGTCACATAGCTGGACCAAAACAAATAAAAAAAGATTGGCCATCAGCATGACTTCACAATAGTAATTAACATCCCAACAGGGACCCTTTGAACCGGCTGATCTTATTTAGGCCCTTTTTCTTGAGATCAGATGACTAGAAGGTCAAGCAGGAGATGGGAAACAGTAAGACACACAAAAGGCATGGAAGGAAAGAAAGAAACAGGCATCTATTTTATTTTTTAAAATTAATTTATTTTGATTTATCAACAATCACTTCCGTAAGCTTCTGAGTTTAAAATTTTTCTCTCCCTTCCTCCCCACCTCCCTCCCCAAGATGGCGCACAATCTGATATCGGCTATACATATACATTTCCTATTAAGCATGTTTTCATATTAGCGATGTTGTAAGGAAGAATTAGAACCAACAGGAGAAGCCACCAGAAAGAGGGAACAAAACTCAAGAAGAGAAGAAAAAAGAGCAAAGAGTCTGCTTTGATCTGCCTTCAGACTCCATCGTTCTTTCTCTGGATGTGGAGAGCATTTTCCATCATGAGGCCTCTGGAGGTGTCTTAGATCCTGGCATTGCTGAGAAGGGCCAAGTCTACCAATGTCAGTCATTTCACAATGTGGCTGTTATCGTGTACAAAGTCCTCTTGGTTCTGCTCACTTCACTCAGCATCAGTCCATACAAGTCTTTCCAGGTCTTTCTGAAGTCTGCCTGCTCATCATTTCTTATAGCACCGTAGTATTCCATTCCATTCCTATACCACAACTTGCTCAGCCATTGGGCATCCTCTCAATTTCCAATTCTTTGCCTCCACAAAAAGAGCTGCTATATTTTTGTACATGTGGGTCCTTTTCCCATTTGTATGATCTCTTTGGGATACAGCCCTAGAAGTGCTATTGGAAACAAGCATTTATTAAGTGCCCACTGGATGCAGACACCGTACAAACATGGCATTTAGTCCTCAGGACAATCTTGTCAGGTAGGAGCTGGTGCTGTCCCCATAGAAGGAACTGCTAAATTTCAATTAGAGCTTAGAGAT